ATTTAGAAAAACGATTTGGCAATTATAGACTTTTATGTGGCTGCAATTACAATGTGTCATATGATGAAATTTTAAATGCTGAAAAGAAAATACGGCTGAAGCATATTTTCAATGAAAAGAAATCGTCATTTTCTTTAGCAGAAATTAAAACAAGGTTCCAAAACTGCTTAGAAACTCAAGAAAATTTTGATTTCTTGGATACCAAACAAAATCCTGAAGTTTTGGCTATATTCAATGAAGTATTTGAGACAAATTACTTAGCCAATTGTGACATAGAGGATAGTACTAAGACTTATATATCTGGATATGCTTCACACGCTATCTCTAAAAACCTAAACTGCGAGATATGCAAATCGCTAATAGTTAAAGAAAAAAGTTCATTAACAACAAATGTTTATTTTGATCATTTGCATAGAGGAGGACTGTCAATTCCAACCAGTTATGTACCAATCATATTCTACCATATGTATGCCATTTTTGAATCTATTATTAATGTAGATAGATTGGAAATTTTCTTCTTGAAAAGCAATAATCAAAAATGTATTTTGTGTCAGTTAACCTTGCTCAGCATTCAGTCTGACTTTATATACAGTGAATTTTCTTTAACTTGCATCTGTGGCCGCAATTATGCAGATATTTTATCTAAGCTTTTGTCTATTTTTTCAAACATAATTTTGAATGATTATGTAAAATTGAAAAATAACAGTAAAACTGAAAGTAAATGTATTAAAAACAAACAGATAACTCCACATTTCCAAGCTGGGCCTGTTGGAACACAGTGTGCTGACACCAAAAAACGTAAACTAAATACTTTCAATTAGGTTAACTGCATTAGCGACTCATATATATCACGATTATTTCGTAAATTTTTTAGAGCTATTTCATATTCAGACGATTTGTATCGAATCGAACTGTCCTCTTTTCCAAAATTAAATTTAGTTCTTGAACATTACACTAACATGCCGTCCGAGCGCGGTGTTGCCTTTCTTTCATCACGGCTCGTAGTTGACGTCGGCTGTTGTCATACCCTAAATGAGAGAGCTGTCCGCGCGATGGGTTTGCTGACTCGAGACAACAAGCGCGCTTCAGAGCAATGTTTGTCGCTGTTTAAGCGACTTTCTGTGTCGTTCGTGACCGTCGATGAAACATGGATCCACTGGTACTCACCGGAAGGAACAGTCGAAACAGCGGACTTGAGCGTTACACAAGATTTTTAAACGGAAACGCCCGTTTTTACAGATTTTCCATTAAGTTTTTAGTAACTTTTGTATAATAAAGTTTATATCTATCTTCAATCGATGTGAAGCTATGTGAATTTGTAATAAAATACGACCGAATTAATAATGCACGGCATGGCTATCAGCAAGAACATTTAGCGTCAGTGAGTGTCATCGTAATCTTATTTTTGGATCACCCTGTCTTGTACGGCTATAGATAGATATCATAATTGACGTGTCCGAGAGTTTTTAATATACCCGCAATGGGGGTGCGACCTTTTCGTTGGCCCACCCTGTATAAATGCGTGATTGTTGAGATTTTAAGATGCTGGACCATCTATTAGATTATTGGAGAAACCCAATACTTTGAAACGACCTTCCGTAGCTCGAACTTCTATATTAAATTCGGGCAACCAAACCTTATTCCAAGATCCGCATACTCAACATTCTCATCACGTGCTCGTGAATACTTCGGCCAGATGGCAAACGTTCCAAACTCCCGAGGAGTCTCTGCGGAGGTCATCTAAAACGATTATCGGTGGTTTTCGTGTAAAACGCAACGGAACCTAGCGTACGTATCAACGCGAATATGTGGTACATGTCAGCCGTTTATCGGTTTCGCATAAAATCTAATAGTATTGCTATTCCTGTACAAGTACCGGGTGTAGCGTAATTCTTAATACCAAAAAGGCGAATCTTTAAAGACATATAATATTGGAGGGCGGTATCGTCACCGTCAGTCGTTCCTTATGGCCTCTTTGATTTTCATAGTTTTTTACTCTTCCGTGTCAGTGTTCTATTTTGAGGTTATGTTACAAATATCGATTTGCATCAAAACCATGAACAAATTGATGCAAATCGATATTTGTGACATAACCTCAAAATAGAGCGCTAACTGTTGAAAACTATCAAAATCAAGGAGGCCGTAAAGGCTTCCTACAATTATTGTAGAAACGACTGACGATATGACCCTTAGGTTGATAGTAAATTTACATTTTCTCAGCATATAAGGGAAATGAGCGTGTCAGCGATATCAGCACAATGTGACAAGGAGGAGGATGTTTTATGTCAACTCCTTGATGTGTTGTGATGATTGGACGAATTGGTTGACAAAAACACGCCTAAAAACACCACACAGTACACAGTGGAGCAAGTTCGTAAACATTCAAGGCCACGGCTCGCACTGTAATCAAAAGTTATCGTGAATCTTTAGTAAACTTAAAATTACACTCTAACAAAACCGAATCAAAAAATTTGTTTAGTTCACCTCAAAATTAATCCGTGTACCAAGTCAAAAAGCCTAGGTGTTTCCTCTTAAACTAAGCATATCTGTTTTTCTTTGTTCTTCTCCTTTTTTCTTCTCTTTCCCTTTCTCTTTTTCCCTGACTTTGTCTGGTTTCTGGGCAACCAGGACTGACAGATTCGACTAACGTACATCAGACAGTGACTAATGGGCAAAGGTCCTACGGACCGCCCAGACAAATAAATGACGAATAGTTAACACCACACAGTTTAGTTATGTTCATCAATTTTTGTTGGCGGAACATTTAAATCCCAAATACGGTATATTCACCCGTATACTATTATCGTCCATATCGTGTCCTGAACCAGTTACTCCCATGTTTTCACTATATATAGCGAGGCATGTGATCGTGAATTTACACTTTCATGAATCATCATGGATTTCCCATGGAACATTCCATCTAGGCACGATAAAGGTTATGGGCCTCGAGAAAAAATGAATGATGGATTATTGTGTTTTTTTTCTGGTAAAGCCAGTGCTCGATATAGAGAACGAGAAACAGAAGCCTGGTTGATCCGTTTGGCAGGGATATCAAAGAAGCAAAGTCTATTGACATACCCGAAGAGCCAGAAAATAGTGCAGTTCAAAACAAGAGCGTATCCAGGGGGCAAGCGGGGGGCTTCTTCCTACCTCAGCAAAAATTAAATGGTCAGAACATTTTTTACAAAAATTAAATTATTCATGTATACTTTATCTGAAGTCACTTGAAACACTGTGAAATACCGGTTGCGTTTTACATATCTATATTTAACACGCTCTGTTGCTGCAAAAATCGCCAAATTTCGCAGCAAATATCCCCCGTATAAGATCAAAGGCAGTTTCACCGGTCCACATGTCTGACTAATTCTTATGTTGCCATTGACTGCACTATACTCCACTCCGCTCTGCTCTGGTGTAATCTGTACTCTCCTTCCATCTCCCGGCCGCCGAGTTATACATAGTCCCCATTGTTGCTTCGAGAAAGGTCTGGTGAGCCACAAAGCGACATCTAGAATACTGGAGGTCACTTCGCGTCGATCTAGAAGGTGAGTCACTGCCACGATGCTCACAGACGCCGCCAAGCGGCTTGAGCGGTCGTGGTTCGCGTAAAGGCAGAGATCGACCTTCTTGGCTCTGGCGAGTAGGAGACTCGCCCAACAGATGGCGCCAACGGTACTATTTGTCACGATAACATTACCACTTTTTCTCTTGTACACGTTGGCATAATTAAAATTTTAATCTGATGTTTCAGCTTTGAGTTTTTTTAAATTATACAGTTTTCGATTTCTCCAAGTAGTCTTTATTTTTTCCTAACTTTAGTCCGAAACAAAACTTTTCAAACATCCACAATGTCTACAAATTTCAAACAAAAATGTAGCGTTTTTCTGGGTTCTTTTCGGTGTTGATTAAAACACTGGATTCCACAAAAAGAAAGGCGCTAATTTATTTAACTTGATAGAACATTTATTGTAGACCACTATTTATGTCTGACTTATGTTGCCATTGACTGCACTATACTCCACTCCGCTCTGCTCTGGTGTAATCTGTACTCTCCTTCCATCTCCCGGCCGCCGAGTTATATATAGTCCCCATTGCTGCTTCGAGAAAGGTCTGGTGAACCACAAAGCGGCATCTAGAATATTGGAGGTCACTTCGCGTCGATCTAGAAGGTGAGTCACTGACACGATGCTCATTGGCTTGAGCGGTCGTGGTTCGCGTAAAAGCAGAGATCGACCTTCGTGGCTCTGGCGAGTAGGAGACTCGCCCAACAGATGGCGCCAACGGTACTATTTGTCACAATAACATTACCACTTTTTCTCTTGTACACGGTGGCATAATTAAAATTTTGATCTGATGTTTCAGCTTTGAGTTTTTTTAAATTATACCGTTTTCGATGTCTCCAAGTCGTCTTTATTTTTTCCTAACTTTAGTCCGAAACAAAACTTTTCAAACATCCACAATGTCTACAAATTTCAAACAAAAATGTAGCGTTTTTCTGGGTTCTTTTCGGTGTTGATTAAAACACTGGATTCCACAAAAAGAAAGGCGCTAATTTATTTAACTTGATAGAACATTTATTGTAGACCACTATTTATGTCTGACTTATGTTGCCATTGACTGCACTATACTCCACTCCGCTCTGCTCTGGTGTAATCTGTACTCTCCTTCCATCTCCCGGCCGCCGAGTTATATATAGTCCCCATTGCTGCTTCGAGAAAGGTCTGGTGAACCACAAAGCGACATCTAGAATATTGGAGGTCACTTCGCGTCGATCTGGTGAGTCACTGCCACGATGCTCACAGACGCCGCCAAGCGGCTTGAGCGGTCGTGGTTCGCGTAAAAGCAGAGATCGACCTTCGCGGCTCTGGCGAGTAGGAGACCCGCCCAACAGATGGCGCCAACGGTACTATTTGTCACAATAACATTACCACTTTTTCTCTTGTACACGGTGGCATAATTAAAATTTTGATCTGATGTTTCAGCTTTGAGTTTTTTTAAATTATACCGTTTTCGATGTCTCCAAGTCGTCTTTATTTTTTCCTAACTTTAGTCCGAAACAAAACTTTTCAAACATCCACAATGTCTACAAATTTCAAACAAAAATGTAGCGTTTTTCTGAGTTCTTTTCGGTGTTGATTAAAACACTGGATTCCACAAAAAGAAAGGCGCTAATTTATTTAACTTGATAGAACATTTATTGTAGACCACTATTTATGTCTGACTTATGTTGCCATTGACTGCACTATACTCCACTCCGCTCTGCTCTGGTGTAATCTGTACTCTCCTTCCATCTCCCGGCCGCCGAGTTATATATAGTCCCCATTGCTGCTTCGAGAAAGGTCTGGTGAACCACAAAGCGGCATCTAGAATATTGGAGGTCACTTCGCGTCGATCTAGAAGGTGAGTCACTGACACGATGCTCATTGGCTTGAGCGGTCGTGGTTCGCGTAAAAGCAGAGATCGACCTTCGTGGCTCTGGCGAGTAGGAGACTCGCCCAACAGATGGCGCCAACGGTACTATTTGTCACAATAACATCACCAGTTTTTCTCTTGTACACGGTGGCATAATTAAAATTTTGATCTGATGTTTCAGCTTTGAGTTTTTTAAAATTATACCGTTTTCGATGTCTCCATGATTACCCTTAAAAACATGTGAATGAATTAAATTATGTTGCTCCTCATTCGATGAGTTTAAAGCAACTATAGGAAGTTAGCCACTTGAAATTTTATATCAGTGCGCAATATGTTATCATCTTTGATATTCTACGAAATGCATTACTATATCATAATTTCAAGACTTACTCAAGAAAACATATATTTATAATAATGTATGACATGCTATAATAATTGAAATCAGAATTAAAAGATATTTGCCTAAGCATAAGAAAATTCAAAGCTGAGACGAAAAACCATATTTATGTTCTATTTATGCCACCTTACAGAGATCAAAAAATGAAAATTTCAAGTAATTGTAGAAAAACAACGAATAAATATCGACAATGAGATATTATTTTCGGAATTAGTATGTTGTATCCCCGGCTATATTAAAACGTTTCCCTTTGAAGTGGCCTTAGAATAAAATATGTACGATGTTTCATTAAAAAAAAATCGTCATGCAGATATGAATCACCCTGTAGGGAGCAGTATATTCCAAGTCGGAAATGTATAGACCAGATGGAGCTATTGTCCAATTAGATACTAAAAGCTCACCCTGTATGTATAATTTGTTGCAGCAGTGACGTCGATGGATTGTTTGAGCATTTTTGAAGATTTTTCTCGATGTCCATCACTACAAAGGCTTTAATTTTAGCTACTATCTTTTATTTACTCGTATGCACTTAGTCATCATTTTTTGCAATAACCAATTAACTAATACAACGAACTGCACATACCCATTTTGGAGGAGTTTTCATCCCTTTCCCAATTCTTCTATGGACATAACTTTGAAGAACCAAAAGTTACCCAGCATTTTTTATTTCGAGATGCATTCACTCTAAAGAATATACAGGGTAACTTCGAAGTTGAGTCATTTATTTTAACAGTGAGTAGATCTGATCAAAAGAAATGTTTTTTTCCTTTACCATTTTTCTGGTAAAATTAAAGTAACAAAGTTATAGCCCTTTGGAAGTTTGAGTACCGCCCTGTCTCAATAATAATATTATGTGCTCGTGTTTTTCAACAACGGATATAATCCGCCTTATCGGTTCATCGCATCGGAAACAAAAAAGCGAAAGAATTTGGAACGATGTTTTTACAATTATTTTATTCAGTAAGTATACAGTCAGTGTCAGTCGGTAACGCGTGAGTGAATAGTGGTGTCTGTTGCGTGGCTCAAACGAAATAAAAAATGGCACATGTTTATGCGGATCGGTTTCCCAATCGAGTGCAACCAACCCCTCGTGCCTTTGTTAATGTAGTACAACGGGCTCGTGAATCAGGTGTCTAAGACCTCACAGGGGACGGCATGCCGGTGCTCCAAGACCTCACGATCAAATACAGGTCCGCACTGAAATACTTGTCGGGAGAATACTACTATAAAACAAGGTAATTTTTTTTTATTTTTACACACTAATTTTGGTTTATCTTCCTTCTACAATTTCTTTTACAACAGGGTTCACATTTGGTGAATCAAATCTATGTAAATGAATTTCCACCAAAAATTCTTTTGAAGCTGCCCTCTCCCCCTTCCGTTTCGAGCTGGGTACGCCCCTGGCTCACGAGGCTGTTCTCGATTAGTTATAGGCTAGGAAGTTGTTTGTTAAAAGTTTCTTATACGCGTAAAATATAGTCAGTGTCAGTCGGTAACGCGTGAGTGAATAGTGGTGTCTGTTGCGTGGCTCAAACGAAATAAAAAATGGCACATGTTTATGCGGATCGGTTTCCCAATCGAGTGCAACCAACCCCTTGTGCCTTTGTTAATGTAGCACAACGGGCTCGTGAATCAGGTGTCTTAAGACCTCACAGGGGACGGCATGCCGGTGCTCCAAGACCTCACGATCAAATACAGGTCCGCACTGAAATACTTGTCGGGAGGATACTACTATAAAACAAGGTAATTTTTTTTTATTTTTACACACATATTTTGGTTTATCTTCCTTCTACAATTTCTTTTACAACAGGGTTCACATTTGGTGAATCAAATCTATATAAATGAATTTCCACCAAAAATTCTGTTGAAGGTGCCCCTCCCCCTTCGGTTTTGAGCTGGGTACGCCCCTGGCTCACGAGGCTGTTCTCGATTAGTTATAGGCTAGGAAGTTGTTTGTTAAAAGTTCCTTATACGCGTAAAATATAGAGTCTGTCTATCGGCATGAATTTTTTCTAAATAATTTAAAGTAAAATAAAATCAATTCGAATTGATTTGATGGCAGCGTGTGCCATGACCTTCGCTAGTTACAAGCAGTTTTATTATTTATAATTTGAACTGGTAGCTGGTAAACATCGATTTTTCCCATATTCATATTTGTATCGTAACTAATGATACGATTCATGCGTATAATGATAATATAATCACGGGTTTGTCCACGATTACTGCAATAGGATGTAATATCTCATAACAAGCTTAATTTTTTTACTAGACGGTAATTATGGAGGAATGCAGATTTGGCAATTTTTGAAAACTTACATCAAAAAATCATATTTTATACACCAAATAGCGCCCACTCTGATAAGACTATTCGAATAATTATTCATATCCGTTGAGAAACGGAATGAATAACGCGAACTGCGCTTTTTATCGCTAGATGTCACCACCAATACGACTTTCAGAATTTTTGAAAGTGTTACTATTTCCGGCACGCGCGTCTGATCAAACGTTGATATTGGACCTATTTGTAGCTAAATGATGTCTAAACAAGCTCACGAAAACCCCAACTATTGACAATTTCAGGATTATTTATGTTTTGTTTAGGTATTTGTTTTGTTGTAATTATACTTGTAGATTGTGCCGAAATATAGAGATCGAGACATCAAGAGCTGCTGAATTGAAACGCGGATCGGTTTGATTTTGTACGCTTTGCGAGGCTCGCAGAGACAGACGAACAGTGCAACGTTGCCATTGTGGTTATTTCTGTAAATCTGCTACTTTGAGGTATGACTAGGATTATTTACAGAAATGCCATGAATTAAAAAGCGTAGATTTGGGTTTATTGTTTCCTAAGCCATCTTCAGGTACGTCAGCTATTGAAAACAAACAAAAACGGTTTGGAAACTGCTTCGAAGACAACACTAAACTCACCTGAAAAAATTCTTGTATTTAATCATACATTTTTATTCATTAATTATTGTTAGTTATATAAGTTGACGAATCCATGCACGCATTTAATTGATAATAAATAATTTTAATTTGAGTCTCCATACATTGGCAGTGGTGTGCTTTCTACCATTTTGGTAGACTGCGAAAAGCTTTAAGCTCAAAATTAATTATTAAATAGTTAACTTTCACGATACCCTTGGCTATCCAGCTGCTGTGCCGGCGTTCTCGCTATTATGTAAATCCATTATTTACCCAATTCTGTCCCTATCACGCGATCTATCGCCTTCTTAATCGTATTTATGAATGTCCAAACAGACATGCAAATGGTGGTTGCTTATTGGTTAACTTTACGAACATTAAACAAAAACAGTAAGTAGTAAAAGACATACATGCTGAAAGGTTGGGTTAATTAATCATCTTTGTCTGGTTTGAAGAATCAAACCGCGGCACTCCATTTTCGACAACCATTAACAATGGAAATTGATTTTCCCTGTACGATAACCTAGATAAAAAAAGGTCAATAATTCGGTCACATCTTTAGATGTAACACGTTAGGTCACGATTATGAGTGTGTGTGTCTTTCCTTCTTCGCAGCGACTACTAATTGGGAATGAACACGAACTGGCAACTGTTTTTCTTGTTCTTTTGTTATGCTAAGTGCCCCTTATACAAAGCCTACTGAGCATACTGATGTGTACATAAACAACGGAACATCGTCTTCACCGACGATAATGACTGCCTTTTGTTCTTTTTATATATATCACTATGAAAACGGAAAAATATTTATCATAGTCACATTTGAGGGAAAAAATTTTGTTTGTATATTATTTCAAAAATACTACCTTTTAACGAATCTGTCTATATTGGCACCAGGGCCAAAATGGGGTAAAAAATTGTTTGTGGAATGATTTCCAAAAAACGCTTCTTTTGCTCCGGCCAAGAGTTTTGGGTCATTTGAACAGGAAACGTTTATCAGTCGGCAATCAGTAGCGCCTCGTCCTTAAACATAATTTTAATATAAATAAATGTATGTACTTATTACGATAATTTCAATTAATATCTAAATCGTTAAATAATTAAAAATAACTTGTCCTAATCTAAGTCGAAAAAGTCGCTACAAACAGGTTTGTTTTTGAAAATCGCCGCTACGTCTCAAAGTACTAAATAAGTCGCTATTTTCGCGACAAGTCGCTACGAACGGCAACACTGCGTAGCACCAGAATGTCTGTCTGCACATGCGCACACGCTAGCGTCACTTTGGATTGAGTGTACAGGGTGGTGTTAATGTTCATGCACAGGGTGATATCGGCCGATTGTACCGGGATGTACACACTAAGTAAACGGTTAAATAAATTTAGTTGAACGATTGGCTTAATTAAACTAGTTAGCTGACGCTAAGAAAATATTTTTCGGTGTACAAAACGTTATAATGGACGATTAAATCGAAAATCGCAACTCACCTATTGTATATCCTACACGTCGAGTTGTTGATCCGCTTGTCGCTCGCGTGCCTCCGCCTGTCTTCGAAGAGATCCTTGACAGCCGTCACTCCAAGGACGAACATGACAGGAATCATGGCGATCTCCTTGCCGAACGCGTTTATGGCCGGAAACCAGTTGAGCAAGACGATAAAGATGAAGTATAGGTTGGCAACCCTGTGGAATTGCTCCAGCAGGTTGCGAGGCAGGAAAGACAACAAAGTGTACTTTGTGGTGCGGATGCGATTGTCGGGGCGACGGCCTGAAGACAAACGAAACGGCGTCAAGTAGATGCGCTCGGTAGTACCGACGTTGTTTGCATAATCATTGTTTTGTAGAAGATTTATTTAGCGTTAATGCTACAAAGTCAGTTTTTTATAATTGTTCGCTTACACGTTTTTTTTTTCAATCCATTTTCTGTAATTTTACATTCTGGTCTATTGAAATTACATCACTATGCGTTTTGAGTATTCATAAAGAGATTTTTTAATTTCATCTTACACATTTTCAAATTCGAACACTGTTTAATATCATTATTCAATTTATATACAGAGACCAGCGAAACTTTTTCGCTATAAGCGAAGTTCGTAATAAACGATAAATAATGCTAATACCAGAAAAACTTTTTTGCGCTACCCTGTATACAACAACTGACCGAAAAATCGTATTTTCTCGTATTTCCACAAGAAAAAAGGCCGTCGCCAACTACGCCTCGGATATAACTTCGCGTAAACTCAATTTCATTTTTTCTACTCACCGTTCGGATGTTCTTTCCTCGGCGTCTTAGGCGGCACAATGTGATTAGGAACTACGATTCTATATCGTTCTTCTTGTTCGTTTTTCGGTGATCTCCTAATAAGAGCGCATAACGCTCGCCTCCACAAAGGCGGCGGCGCGCTACGTCTCAACGTGTAGATGGACTCCGATCTGCAACGAACAATAATTCGATACGTTATGTGGCGAAAGTATTCCACAGGAAGGTATGTATCTATGTCTACAGGGTGTCCCAACCGTGCGATGACGAAGTATTGCTCCCAAACAGGAAGTTTTCAAGGGAATATTATACAGGGTGTGCCAATACTCCGTGGGCGTAGAAGTAATGTGTGATTTTTTTGCTAGTATCCTTTTGGCAACACTGTTTTTGACAGATGACGCGTGAATCGTGTCTTGTGTCATTGTCAAACTTGTTCAGTTTGGTCTATAATTTAACCATGAATCGACTTACGAACGAACCACGCTTGCAAATTATTGAATTTTACTATCAAAATTCATGCTCGGTTAAGAGAGTGCATCGAGCACTGCTTCCAATTTATGGGCAATTTGGTCGGCCTACTGAGGGAGCTATTCGGAAGCTTGTGACTAAATTTCGAACCCAGTTTACATTATTGGACATTAAACCACCAACACGCGCACGTAGAGTGAAGACTGAAGAAATTATTGCGGCTGTATCCGCCAGTGTTAGTGACCGTGAAATGTCAATTGGGCCACTGTTACTCCACTACGTGAAATATTTTGCGACAGGATTTGGGTGTAAAACCTTATAAGATACAGCTGGTGCAAGAATTGAAGCCACACGACTTCCCACAAGGTTTCCCATTTGGTGAATGGGCGCTGGCAAAGTTGGAAGAAGATCCACATTTTTATCGAAAAATTGTGCTCAGCGACGAAGCTCATTTCTGGTTGAATGGGTACGTTAACAAGCAAAATTGCCGCATCTGGAGTGAAGACCAGCCAGAAGCATTGCAAGAGCTACCAATGCATCCCGAAAAAATCACTGCTTGGTGTGGATTATGGGCCGGTGGCATCATCGGGCCGTACTTTTTCAAAGACGACAATGGCCGGAACGTAACTGTGAATGGCGAGCGCTACCGTGCGATGATAACAAACTTTTTTTTGCCCAAAATGGAAGAGCTGGACTTGGCTGACATGTGGTTTCAACAAGACGGTGCCACATGCCACACCGCACACGAAAAAATGGCCCTATTGAGAGGCGATGAATAGTTTATCTCACGTTTGGGGCCCGTCAATTGGCCGCCTAGATCGTGTGATTTAACGCCGTTGGACTATTTCTTGTGGGGCCATGTTAAGGCTAATGTCTACAGGGATAAACCAGCAACGATTGACGCACTGGAAGCCAATATTGAAGCATTTATTCGTGAGATACCGGCCGATATGTTGGAGAGAGTGTGCCAAAATTGGACCTTGCGCATGGGCCATCTAAAACAGAGCGGCGGCCAACATTTACATGAAATAATCTTTAAACATTAAATTATATCGTCCGTTCTATCGACTCAAATAAAGATTTAATCGTGTTTTCAAAATCGTAATAAATCGTGATAAATCGTAATAAATCGTGATAAATCGTGATAAATCGTAATAAATCGTAATAAATCGTAATAAATCGTAATAAATCGTAATAAATCGTAATAAATCGTGATAAATCGTAATAAATCGTAATAAATCGTAATAAATCGTAATAAATCGTAATAAATAGAAATACATAGTAATAAATCGTAATAAATCGTAATGAATCGTAATGAATCGTGATAATCGTAATAAATCGTAATCAATCGTAATAAATCGTAATAAATCGTAAATCGTAATAAATCGTAATAAATCGTAATAAATCGTAATGAATCGTAATGAATCGTGATAATCGTAATAAATCGGAATAAATCGGAATAAATAGAAATAAATAGTAATAAATCGTAATAAATCATAATAAATCGTAATGAATCGTGATAATCGTAATAAATCGCAATAAATCGTAATAAATCGTAATGAATCATAATAAATCGTAATAAATCGTAATAAATCGTTTTTTTTAAAATCAAATCCTATACCTCTTAAAAATTACCCGTTACTACGTATTTTTAGAGACAAGATAAGTCAATTGGATATGGTTTAACTCTATGCAAAAGTGCTTCGTTCGTCCGTTAGAGGGCGTCAAATTTTTCTTTATAAAACACATTTTTTCAGATTTTCTTAAAACAGTGCAATCCGCTTATATTGGAGTCAGCGGGACTGTGACAAATAGTCTATTATAGTGGGATGACCATCTTAAAAGAAACACTTTTTTTAATGAAAAAAGCAGCAGAAATAACATATTAGATGCTTAAAATGTGTTTGTTTAACATGAATTACATAAATAAAGATGCATACAAAAACACATGCCTGATGTGAATTTCCACACTTGACTGCCTCAAATGCTATTTCCTTGTGAACCTGATTCCATCAATAAATTTGTTTTCGTGTAAAAATTAACTATTTTATGATTTTTTAAAAACCGTCCATCCTCTCTGCCGCACCCTGTATAATTATTTAGAACAGCAATTTGAATTTTATTTAATTTGGTAAGTGTGGCTGTACTGTCTTCTTCTTGCTGAAAATAACGTTGCGTGTTATTAATTCTTTCAGTGCACTTAGCGAAAATAAACAAGTATGGTATTACTTAAAAAGTGCTCAATATGATCGCCATTTTCGGTCCTGCAGAAAAAAAACCACGCAAAAAAATTAACACGGTGCAATAAGAACATTTTTTAGCAAATTATTTGTTTCTCGAAAACTATGCGAAATGGCCTGTTTTTTTGAAAGAAAAAAATAAAGCAAATAAAAGGTTATCAGAATCGCGAAAAAATTCTACTATAATTTATGTAGGGGTGGGGTTGGTTTTCACCCTTCTCGAACCATTTTGTTTTTTTTTTGTAAAACTCAAATATCAGAACACGTGTTCAAAATTTCAGTCAAGTCGGACTATCGGATCCAGAAATATCTGAAAAAATTTGTTTTTTAGAAGATAACTGACGCCCCGATCAAATGTGCAAATTAGGGACAATTCCGAGTTGAAGTACATGTAAAGCGAATTCCCCCAGCCAACCAAAATTATTATCTACATGTATGTTTCTAATAGATACAACAGATGCTTGACTGGTATTGCTTTGCGGATTATATTACATTTTTTATATCGATTACACCAGCATATCATGCATTATATATATATATGTTTTTATTTTATATATTTACAAGGTATTGGCACATATTGGTTTCGATATAATTTTAATCCTACATGGTACTGGAAGCAATTTAATATAATTATCTCCGATAAAAAAATTTGTTTTGTTGAACATGGATATACAGGGTGACTTCGAAGTTGAGTCATTTATTTTAACAGTGAGTATATCTGATCAAAAGAAATGTTTTTTTCCTTTACCATTTTTCTGGTAAAATTAAAGTAACAAAGTTATAGCCCTTTGGAAGTTTGAGTACCGCCCTGTCTCAATAATAATATTATGTGCTTGTGTTTGGCGACAACGGATATAATCCGCCGTATCGGTTCATCGCATCGGAAACAAAATAGCGAAAGAATTTGGAACGATGTTTTTACAATTATTTTATTCATTTGTATACAGTCAGTGTCAGTCGGTAACGCGTGAGTGAATAGTGGTGTCTGTTGCGTGGCTCGAACGAAATAAAAAATGGCACATGTTTATGCGGATCGATTTCCCAATCGAGTGCAACCAACCCCTCGTGCCTTTGTTAATGTAGTACAACGGGCTCGTGAATCAGGTGACGGCATGCCGGTGCTCCAAGACCTCACGATCAAATACAGGTCCGCACTGAAATACTTGTCGGGAGGATACTTTATAAAACAAGGTAAACAGTTTTTTTTTATTTTTTTTTTATTTTTACACACATATTTTGGTTTATCTTCCTTCTACAATCATTATCTGAAAATTAATGACTCAACTTCAAAGTCACCCTGTATAGTGGCAATTTATTTAAATTACACTTATTTTTGTTGCAAGGATTTTTGACAATTATTTTCTGTATCGCGAGAAAATAATACTCCATATTTCAAGTTTAAAGTGACAAAAATCGCGGTTTTAATATCTGATCATGTCTTGGCTCCGACATTATTCCTTTTACATATCATGTATGACATAATAACATTTTTGGAATCGCAATTAAGAACTCTAAAATCCAATATGGCGTCGAAATAAAAATAAAGTTGATGCTGGATGGCAATAGACGAAACGTCATATTGAAATTCTAATTATGCCATCTTATAGAGAAGAAAAATTGGCAGTGTTAATGCGCATTTTAATTTATAATCCCATTACAAATAAAGCCAGGAAAAAATTAAAACGATTTTGGGAAAATACGATTTTTTGCGAAAAATTTTCTAACAAAGCATCGACACTCAAATGCCAAAAGTTTAAACGAGCAAAAAATCATACCTTTGCAAACATAGCAATGATAAATTTCTATTCTGATCTGCAATTCGATTTTTTATTACCCGATAAAACAGAAACCCCAAACGTTTATGGACTGAAGAAATTATCCATTTCATTCAGTTCGCTTGATAGTGGGCAGTTAAAGAATCATCACTTCAAAAAGCCATAACTTTTTATTCCCCGTATGAGCTCAACGAATCATAAAAATAAACTGCCCTTGGTCGATATGTCTATTAAAATACATTTCAATGACAATGTAGTGTGTGTCTTATAAATAAACAGAGCAGGCATTTCTTGAGTGCTTTGTAAATATTTGTCTAATAAGTTCGAGAGTTCTTTGTGGTACTGGTTGTCGCTAAAAATTTATTAATGAATGATGAAAAATATTTCGGAGGTTCGGCAACATAAAAATCGTTTTTTCATCTATCTACTATCCGACTATCAACTTAAAGAAAAGTTCCAACGTACGTATTTGGTTCAGAATGCCCTAAAATAACTGGAAAACACTTTAATTGGAGCAAAAAAACAGTTTTATAAATTTGGAAAAATGTGAATCAATATTTTCCTATCAGATACGAAAATATTATTCATTAAAATAAAAAGAAAACAATACGAAGAAAAATTGACCGACCTCGGGATCGAACCGCAGACCATCGGCTTATGAAACAATGATACAACCCGCTGGGCTACATTGACCGTTGTCTCTTTACTTCGAGAATAAGTACATATGAATAGCGTTCATGGCCAACTAGATTTTGTGCGATCTGAGATTCTCGCAACGACAGACGAACAGAGCGACGTTGCCATTATGATTATTTCAGTAAATCAGCTACTTTTATGTATGACTGGGTTTATTTACGGCATTTCAGCCAATGAAGAAACGTCGTTTAGGTTTATTTCCTGTTTCCTGAGCCATCTTCAGCTATGTCATCTGTCGAAAAAAGATAAAGACGATTTGAAAACTGCTTGTATGGTAACAGAAAACGGTGTTTTGTTGTAGCTGGACAGCGCAGAAGTTGCATAGTTTAGATGAAATGTATACTAGAACGTTATTTTAGAAAATTGGCACATTGACAAAGTTTTCGAGATATAATACAATTTTAGAAAAAGTGCAAAATATGCCAAACTTTCTAAATATTCTATAAGCTTTAAACATCCATTCACAAAATTCAAAAATCAGTACTTTCTGGTAGCGTCCTATGATTAATCATGGCCAACTAGATACACCGAAATCTAGAGATCGAAAACATCAAGAGCTGTTGAGTTGAAACCGAGATCGTCTCGATTTTGTGCGATCTGAGATTCTCGCAACGACAGACGAACAAAGCGACGTTGCCATTTTGGTTATTTCAGTAAATCTGCTACTTTTAAGTATGACTGGGTTTATTTACGGGATTTCAGCCAATGAAGAAACGTCGTTTGGGTTTATTACCTGAGCCATCTTCAGCTATGTCTGTATGGTAATAGAAAGCGGTGTTTTGTTTTACATCTTCGTATTTGTATCAACTTCATACCTCCGCTCTCGATGACTGTCCCACCTGGACCGTGCTGATGAACGCCAGTAAGCTTGAAACAGCGCTGAACACGCAGACAAAAGCAATATTATTGATTACTCACCTAGACGCCTGTCTGGAATGTCCCTTTCCCGACGATCCTCCTCTACTACTTTCTCTAGGTTCTTCCTCTTTATGTCCAGGAGGCAGAATGAATTCCGTCTTCGAGCCGACTCGGCTGTGTCCGGGCCTGATCACTCCCCCTACCCCCACAGCAGCGCCCGCTGAAGCCGGGGCTCCGCCCCCTGAGGTCATCGCACCGCCCACCTGAAACAAATTAAGGAGGTTCGTATGTACAAGTTGATGTTTTAATATACTAAATGACATAGAAATCACAAGTATTTATCGAAATTCAATAAATAATTCTGGGTGTTGCATTTTATATGTATGTCACTTAGTATACATGTGATATCGGACCTCCCCTATTATTACTCGCCAAACGATTTTTATTTTTTTGTCCGTAGTTTGAGGATTATGTATGTTTTGATTAGGTATTTGTTTTGTTGTATTCCATGGCCTGCCTTTTTTTGCCGCAAGCCTCTACAATTGATAGGTTCCCACATACCCTCACATTCTTAGTTGGCCACCCTGTACATATCATATAACATCCAAAAAAACATGATATCTCTCTCTATATATATATATATATATGCAATAATTCATCGCCCACTAAAAATCTATAACATCCGGCATAACTTACCTCCGAGATCTGCCCTTGCGACAACGCCCTTTGATGCCCCCTGGCGCCCTTGAGCGCCGACCTTGTGGGCGCCGCGCCCCCTCCACCGTGAGAGGCTGATCGCAGATGGCCACGCCCACCCGCTGCGGCGGCAGGCGAAACTACGCCTCCCACCGCTCCGAATTCCGGGAACGTATACGTCGCGCATTGCGCTGGAGGGGGTACGTCGCCGGCCAGCGGCGTGTGCGGATGATGGAAGTGGTGGGGATGGTCTATGTTGGTAGCGCCGCCCACAGGTATGCCGCCTGTCGTGGTTGTACCGCCACCGATAACGCCCGAGAAGCCTGACATCGCCGGGCAGCTGGAACAAAACAATATACGTATATAATAATAATAATGTCGGCAAACCGATTCTAGGCAAGGGGAATTGAGGGCTAGAGAGTAAGCTAAAATTGACAATTGAGGCTTTCGCACAACTTTTTACGGCACAAGTTTAGGATATAAGAGCTTCATCAAACGTGTTCACTAGGGATTAAAAAGGTCCCCTCACTGAACTCCTGTTGAAAGACACTGTGCATCAGAAGATCCTCTAGATGTTTTCACTTTTTGGGTGCGTTCACTTAGGTAGATTCTGAAGAACTGAGGAATGTGATGTGTCATAATACTTTAGCATACTCAAAAGAATATCATGATTGACCGTATCGAAAAATTAAGCATGATCGACGGAGTGCCGGATTTGTCGTCAAGGTTGTTAAGTATCTCGACTGCATCTAACTATACTATCTTTTGCAAGACTTTCGATAAGAAAGATAAGCCACTTATAGGTCTAAGATCGTCATGTTCAGGTGGATTATCATTTTTGTACAAAGGTTCGTGACTATTGCCACCTTCCAATTGGATTGGATAATAATATGCGTGATGTGATTGAGTATTTCAGTCAGGCATAATTCTAGCATAGTGAGAAAGATGCAAGATGCCATCATAACCCGCCGCTTCAACTATTACGCATACCAAGAATTTACGCGTCTGCACATTTAGATTATTTCTATAAACATGAGTCCTAAACAAAGCACATTTGAATAAAAAACACATTTCCATCTAAAAGCTGGCGTCTAAGTCCAAAGTTGATTTTTTGATAATCCTGTAGTCGCCATAATTTCCAACACAACGAAGCTACAAGCCATTTAAATTCCATATGACGAAAGGCTCATTTCTTATCTCAATATCTCAAAAAAAGTTAAATTCAGGCATGGACGCTAACACATAAGGAATGTTTGAAATCATAAAGAGAATCTCAATATACAAAAATAAAAAAGATTTTTCATCAAAAAATGTTTGGACTGATGTCACTTTTAGGCTACCCTGTATATCAAAAATATTTTTATATTTATAATTCGCCTTTTTTCAACTTTTTATAATAAGAAATCTACGGTACTCCGTCAGATCTTTGACCCACCCTGTACAACGAGTCTAGGAGTATTCAAACTTTTAAATTCACTTTTATCACGACACTGAGTCACAATTTATTTTACCAGAAGAATACTGAAAACTTCAGTTGAAGTGAAACGTAGAAATTCTCAGGACAATCAAGAATCTTAATAAGCGAATATTGTTTGTGTTTTCGTAAACGTAAGCAGGTAATTATTTTCTCAGTCACCTGCAATTAATCTCATCTATCCTCAAATTAAATTAGCCTTGACCTTAACACGTTGAAATCAGAATGAAGGTATGACCGAAAATAAACGTTTTTCACCCATTAATCATTACAAACCAATTTAGGTAGGAAGGGTTGCCTAGTGTTCTGGCCCTACTTTAGGATATAATGGATTTTCTTATGGTTATATGGGAATTGACCTGAAAAAAAGTTGCCAAGTATTTTTTGTTGTGATATTGGATAATAAATCACAATAAATGTAGGTATTTCGTGGAAAAATGTGTTGCGGTAGCTTGATACTATAACAATAATCGGTTGCTATTTGTTTTTGCCTCGTTTTCTGTGTATGTATTGACAGATTTAGATAGCAATTGTCAATAATATAAAGTTAATCCCATGCTATACACTAGGTATTTGTTTTTATTTTTTTTTCAAATCATCGTTATTTATGGCTGACAACAAGGTGAACCGAAAGAAGTGGCCTAGCGAACACGCATTTATAAAAAAGTCTCTTTCTAGCTTCTTGCCGATCATACGGTACATCAAGGTCAAAGTTACAAACAAGGAAGATTTAAAAAACTCAATATTTGTAGTGTCAACAATAACAGATACTTTTGAAGCTTGTAAAGATAACGATAAAGTACAAAATGACATAGCCAAAATACGAATATTAAATATTACCTTTCAAAAAAAGAAAAATATTATCTAATTTTCGAACGAGGTGGTGCATAAGTTTAAATGGAATTTTTGTCAAATCACTGCTTTAGGAGATTTGGAGAAGAAATAATTTATATTTCGTTCTACTTTGAAAATACACCAAAATCAGTGAAGTTTGACCAGAACTCGCATCGTGGATTTATTATCAAACACGTATAACGTCCCATATACTGGATACCCTGTAACCCTGTATATACAGGGTGACTTCGAAGTTGAGTCATTTATTTTAACAGTGAGTAGATCTGATCAAAAGAAATGTTTTTTTCCTTTACCATTTTTCTGGTAAAGTTAAAGTAACAAAGTTATAGCCCTTTGGAAGTTTGAGTACCGCCCTGTCTCAATAATAATATTATGTGCTCGTGTTTGGCAACAACGGATATAATCCGCCTTATCGGTTCATCGCATCGGAAACAAAAAAGCGAAAGAATTTGGAACGATGTTTTTACAATTATTTTATTCAGTTGTATACAGTCAGTGCAGCGGGTAACGCGTGAGTGAATAGTGGTGTCTGTTGCGTGGCTCAAACGAAATCAAAAATGGCACATGTTTATGCGGATCGGTTTCCCAATCGAGTGCAACCAACCCCTCGTGCCTTTATTAATGTAGTACAACGGGCTCGTGAATCAGGTGACTTAAGACCTCACAGGGGACGGCATGCCGGTGCTCCAAGACCTCACGATCAAATACAGGTCCGCACTGAAATACTTGTCGGGAGGATACTTTATAAAACAAGGTAAATTTTTATTTTTATTTTTACACACATATTTTGGTTTATCTTCCTTCTACAATCAGTATCTGAAAATTAATGACTCAACTTCAAAGTCACCCTGTATAATGCGATATCACGCAGCAATAGGAATTAAATTGAACCAATCCTTCTGAATAATAAACAAATCAAATTCTTCATTTTTCTAATTGAACTATTACGCCTAAGTCACTATCTAGGAAACGCCTATAATTTCGCATATGCTGAGCACCCTGTATATCATGCGATAACATCAATAACCGTATTTTCTTTACCTATCCTATACAACAAGGTTTATCCAATACTTATGTTTGCATTTTTTTGCTTGCCGATCGCAGACGACTGGACTACCGATTAGTTTTTTTTTTGCGAAGATATTCAGTTGGCTTTGGAATGGTCAAACTGAGATTTCTACCGACGATGCGTACCTAGTTTTTTGGGGTTAGAATTTTCTCGATGGTTTTTAACCGATTTGCCGGAGTTTCCCGTCTTTGTTCGCTAAAAGTGATTGGAAAAATGAGATTCTAGAATCTAAACGAACTATGAATGATAGTGTAGAACTACCTCAGGAGTGCCATGGATTAAAAAACTCTTTTGTTCTAGTCATACATCATTTTTTTTATTACAAGGTAAGTGCTTTTATTTTAAGCGCATGCTGAATGTGAAATTATGAAAATATATGTTTTGAGAACCATGATCTGAGTCTGTAAATTATCTTTTGACTTATTTTACTGTAATATAGATACTAAAAGCATCTTTGCCGACGATCTATTTCAACCCAGCTGATGATGCCAATTTTCAGCAGACATATTTTAAAAATGATTTGTACATAATTAAACAGCTTATTTGAAAACACGTGCCAATGTGAACTTTATGAGTTTTGCTGAAATCTATTTGATCAAAACAAAATTATATGTTTTGTATATCAATTTCATAACAAGGAAGTTGTTTACAGCTTATGACGTTGTCATTTGGCACACACTCTAGTACCTAATATGTATCAGCTCGTTTTTTTATTGTCACTGTGCAATCTCAGTAACTACTACATGGATTAAGTAAATTTGAAGCAAAGAAAAAATCTAGACAACCCCAATCGAGATTGTAATTCAGATTCACATAAATTAAGTTGAATCATTTTGAAATTCTTGTCACCCTAGTTCACAGACCTGCTTTAAACCAATTTGAAAAATTTCCCACTGATTAAGAATCAAGGAAAATTATTGTATTTTAAAAATAACAACACACATCAGAGATACTAAATAAACATAAACATGACAAAACTCTCATCTCATATGTATTGACTGCTATTGATGTTGATTCCAAAACTTAAATAAATAGCTGACTATAAGATATATAAATAAATGTTGATATGCTGCAAGGAATTTGTAATAAAATATATTCTAACAACATTCATTCACAATAAGGGATTATAATAAATTTTGTATACTAGCCAGCTGTTAGCTAACATGATAATAAATACTGAAAAAATAGTGGGAAATGTACTGTGACATTGTAGAATCATTGATAAAGAGTGGAGTGAGATTATCTTATCATGCTAAGTTTTCTATTTCTACAAACCAACAATAGAATTTTGAAAACGTTACAGAAACTGAAAAAAACGAGTTCAATAAGCACTTCATATCCAGAACACCATTTTGAGCTAAACATAACCTCATACTAGTTATTATTTTCTTATAAATTCAATAATTAAAATGCAGTCATTTGATATAGATCAGATGATATATACATCTGCTACTATGACCTCAAATTGATTTGACCTAAATTTAAATAACAGTAACTTGGAAACAATGGCGTCGAGTAAGTTGACTCCCATGCATCTAATTTTTTTCCGAGAAACGATGAGCGATTTTTGTTTCGGTTTTTGCCTTTTTCTCTATTATTATATATGGTTGTATTATATTGTATATTATTACTTTCCATGTTATAGACTGTGGACAGATAGACAGACAGACAGAAATGTAACATTTTCCAAATTTTTCGCGATAACAAAAAATTCTTTTATATAAGCATGGGTCCAAAAATCTTCCCCTGCACTTCATAATGGGTAATTTTTGTCAAGTACTTCCTGGTCTAAAAATATTGCCATTGCTTTTTAACGGCCCTGTATTATATATTTAGTGACTTTATTGTAATAAAAAGCCACTGTCCTCCATACTACATCAAAATATCTTTAGACATTACAACAGCAATTCCCAGATTAGATAAATATTACTGGAAGTGGTACAAAAGATACATTATTTGCTGTTTGTTTTAGATAACAAAACTAATGAAGGATGTTTATCTGCTCTATGTGGATTTTACCGAGAAACTATTGTAATTTTATTGTTCATTTCACAAACCAAGGAAAAATCAATATTACTGACAATCGAATTATCAGCTTATGCATGTTTATATTTTCGCCTACTAGATGCATCGTATTAATTTACAATGTTTTTCATTTGTTTCAGACAAAGCCACGTTGATCCGTATAATAAGCACTCTTGATATGGTAAAAAAGCCTTCATCGTGGGATATCTAGCAAGATCTAAAAATAATTTTTTCCACAAGGAGATCCTGTTATGATGCCGCGTACGGGCTTGAACTGAGGTCATGCAACTTCAGGTAACAAAACAGAACCATATTGCTCGCTCTATACAATATACGTTCGGGTAGAATGCAGAAATTTTATAGAGATACGTTATCGTTTTTCGTGATTTGGCATATGACCGTTTAACCTCATCTGCATCTCAATTCGTAACGTTTTGTTGACAGATAAATCTGCAAGTTTCGTTATGCAAGTCTTTTTTAGTCCGTTTCATGCATGGCAATACACTGAAATCCTTGAGTTGTAAAGAATTCTTTTCGCTGCGCCTGGTGAATTCGGTTCTATTGGGCAACGAAGAAATAATTCACTCAGTCAAGACCTGACCACAGAAGTTTCAGAAATTATTGCCTAATCCTTTAAGGATTCCTACCTTTTTTTCTCATAACTCAAGCCGAAAATTTCCGTATTTTTGTCCTTCACTCGCGATCCGATTCATAAAAAACGCACATACGATTACAAAAAAAATCACAACGCGTTAAAAGTTAAAAACAACAAGCTGTACGACAACCTCACACACGGTCCGCTGACTGTTTCTTTTCATTTCTCTTTCCTTTCTTCTTTACACATAACGGGGCAGTCAGCCAAGCACATGCGCATTCCCGTCAATCACTGTCACGTCATCCGACAGCGTTACGTCAACTGCTGCCAACGTCAACAACAAATCTGTCAAATTTAAACGCCCAATTTTCTCTAAATTACGCTGATTCTGAACACATTTCAATGCATTCTGATATCCTACATCTCCATCCATCAATTTTGTATTATAATAATGAATAAACTAATTCTGAATGCTGAAAATCCCTACCACATACTTCAGTTTAAATTCTTAAAGGTTTGCGGGCTTGTCAAGTGAGGAAAACGGTTCTCCAGTGTTGTCAACATATCAGATTTTACGTTATATTTAGCCGAATCTAATTTCATTTTGTGGGAATTGGGGATTTTTGAAACGGAAAATGCGAGCTTAGCTTGGTGGAGATCCAAGCGATTTGCCAGAAAATTATGTATTATATATATTATTATAGAAAAATAATAGAAGCGTTCAAATTAGATAGGAAACGCTTCCTAAAAACAAACAAAATTATAAGTGACAACCAATTTAGATTTTACAATACAAAAAAAGGTCATGGATGCTGTTGCCCGGTAGCGCCTTACACGTGCCACCTAGGCGCCATATAAGTCGATAGATACCCTAAACCGCATCTGCTGAGAAGTGTCCACATCCTCGGCAAATAATGCATAATCTGCAAAGGCGTATTATTCGCCACCGGTGGGGCTCTATTGCCATAGGATCAGTCGGGGCGAAGCTCGCTTCGTGGGACTTTACCTTTCAGGTCCAAAAAGTGAAGATTTAGCCACAATAGACCAAATAGTCGCAGTATAGGATCGTTATTGATACACTCACAAGAAACCTAACCTAAGTATCTATTTCATTTTATTCACTTTTATATTTTATTTTTTGTGTTATCATTTGAGCCTTCTACTAGCCAGTCTGCTCAACACAGAGCAAACTTGCCCTCATGTCACAGTCGTGGCACTATTTTCACATAACTCCAACAGTTATACTCAAATTTAAGCGATGAACAAATTTCAATAGCTGTTTTTTGCGACTTTTCCAATGCTTTTTTACTGTGTTTACCATGATAAATTATTAAAAAATCAAATAATCGATCTCACATTGTAAAAGTATCAAGACATCTTTCAAATACATTAAATGGCGTACCTCAAGGATCACTATTACGTCCGATCCTATCCTTAGTCTATATCAATAATTTAATGAACTTAAATATAAATGGTAAATTAGTAGCTTTTGCTAACGATACCACAATAAGACACAGGATATAAATGAAATTAAGACAAAAAATGATAGTGATATACAATCGATCAAAAAATGCTGTGATAACAATTCTTACACACTTCAATGTTTATAAGACAAACTGTGTGACGCTTAAAAGCTCCCTTGATTTTATAAAAATAAATAATGAATCGATACGCAAAACAGGCATCATCAAATTTTTGGAGACTGACTGCTGTTGATAAATTCGATGTTACTAATCAAGTAGACAAATTGCTTACCAAACTAGCAAAGGTTTCCTTTATCATAAGAACAGTTAGTTACGACGTAGGGAAAAGCACAGTTAATTTAAAAGTAGATTGGCATATAGAATTCCCTTTTCGTGTGACTGCTCCCAAAATAGTTTAAAAAAGTGCTTATTCTACAAAAACGAACTATTATATATAACTAAAAGCAATCCTAGAACTATATAGGTGCAGGCCTTTATTTTTAGATCTTAAAATAACGATTGTTATTCTTTTTTAGATTACAGGTGCATTTATGCATACTATTCATATTTAATCTTCAACTCTTGAATAAATTAATGTTGTAGGTTTTATACGTTTCACTTCTACTGTTCATAGATATTATTTTATTCTTATTCACTAATTAAATCCATTTAACCACTATACTGTATTAATTCCCGCAATAATGTATCTATTTCTGCAATGAACTCTTTGTAGGCTATGTGATCTTCACTTATTCAGTGAGAAAACGTTAAAATCACCATGTTTATATTTATAAGGTCTTGCATTTAAGTGGAAAAATGTACAAGTTATCTAATGTTTGGCATGGATCTGAACAGCACTTTTTTCCTACCTGACGGATTTATGCCTTGGAGCTTGGCAACACTGTTGAGAGCGAGTGTTGTCGGTGTTGACGTTCCGTGCTTCTCGACTTGGTTGTTCCGTGTTCCGTGTATTCGTGACGTTTCATTTTTGGCTAGAAGGTGGCCCGTTTTCTCGGTGTTTTCCAGTTAGATTTTCTGAAAAAACCCATTAAAAATCAGCAATGGATGAAGAATACGACGCGATCGTTTTGGGCACGGGCCTGAAAGAGTGCATTCTCAGCGGAATGCTGTCCGTTTCTGGTAAAAAGGTGCTACACGTAGATAGAAACAAGTACTACGGAGGGGAATCAGCTTCGATCTGCCCCTTGGAAGAGCTGTTCTCCAAGTTTGGGGCACCGCCGCCGGATGAATCCTACGGCCGCGGCCGCGATTGGAACGTGGATCTCATCCCGAAATTCCTCATGGCCAACGGGTCTTTGGTAAAGCTGCTCATCCACACGGGAGTTACCAGGTATCTGGAGTTCAAGTCAGTCGAAGGAAGTTATGTTTACAAGGGAGGCAAAATCTCAAAGGTATGGCAAGTTCTATTCATTTTACGTCTCATTTTACTTGATTATCTGTAGAAACAGTCGATATAAATAAAGGCTGATTGTAGTTTCTTTTTGATTGTATTGTGTCTTGCAGCTGATTACGTGTAATATTATATTAAAAACGAGTTTTATGTCGATGTGCGTCTTTCCTTTTGAGGTGGAGCACGCCCCTTCCGTCAAAATTTGAGGTTGAAGTTGTCAATACAAAATGTCAATTTGTCAGCAATCAAGAGACCAAAATACATGAATTATTTTCAAGTGTAGCCTGCATATTTGACAAAAATAATGCATTTGCAAATTCATATTTTTTATACTAAAAATGCATTTATAACAGGATTTCTATTTTATTCATGCTTTTATGACATTTTACAGGATTAAAGTTTTTGAGTACCAATGAGGGTTTCTCCTGGGATGACCAATGTCCAACTTTCTACTTAAAGAATAGTATTTTCTGATGAAGTTTCAAGAAACTATGATTTCTGTGTAATTGAACCCAAAAACTGTCTATATTCTTATGATTTTTCCATTAAAATGGGGCTACTACATTTATTTAAACATCAACCTCCATTGTGGTAGCTAGCAAGCAGTTGAAATTGATTTATTGTTCTGCATCAATAAGCTTTAAAGTAAAAAATAAGTAGGTCAGTTTCTACACCATTTGGGCAAAGCAATAAATGTATAAATATGGTGCATTGAACTCATATGTACTGAATTAAATTATTATTTTTAGAATCATTAGTTGAAGGAGATATTGACTGTTATTCACAGCAATAACATGATTTGATTAATGAAATAATTATCTGTAACTGCTATTTTTTTATTTTAAGATTTATTTAGAATGGTTATTACAGTTACATGATTTTACAACAATTACATAAAATACCAATATCCATAAAAATGACACTTGCATCTCTAAGAATTTTCACTGTCTATGAAAAGTTACTTTGATTTTCTTCTAAACATCTTTAAATTACAAGTAGTTTTTATATCATTATTTAGTTTATCAAGTTCCAGTAATTTATTCTGAAATATTGAGTTGCTAGTTATATTGCTATTGCAATTTTAATGGAAATCTATATTTTCTCTTATATAATAATTTTGGTAATGATTATTCAGTTCTAAATGTTGTGGCAAAAAATGATTTTTCATTTTAAATATAAAAATAAGAACCGAATATATGAAATTTTTTATATTCAACCACTGCAATTCTTGTAAGATAGATTTTATTATGGTGTACTTATTTTTATTCAATAATATTCTCATAGCTTTATTTTGTAGGGCTTGTAATTTTGAGAATATAGCTTCATCTGCAGTACAAAATATTTTTTTGGAATATTCACGACTATGAGGAGCCCTATTGAAGTAATTTGTTTTTTGTCAATTTTTCAAATAAAGTATTCACAGTGATCCTCAAACTTTACCTATCAATACCCAAATATTTAATTGATTCATCTTTTTCAGTTATTTCACCATTTATCCTGAGTATTTATTAAATTTATGATTTTTATAATATATATAGGTGAAAAATAAAGTTTCCGCCTTTAGTTGGGTACTTCGACAAAATTCAAGTAATGAGGACTCTTTATACTTTATTAATCTCTAGCTTTCAATGGGCTTTGCCATCTTCATCAGGAGCTGCAATAACATTGAGAAGAAATAGCAACTATTGTGCAAAATGATTTTAAATTACTTACATTAGTATGTGAGATTGTTGCTAAATGTTATTACATTCATATTTATATATTAATGTATCATCTGCAGATATCCTAGATTCCCAGAAATATTACGCTAGTTTTTTAATGACCTTATATTCTTATCCTTAGATTATCAAATATAATAAATACTTCTGCCTTAGGTTCCAGTGGATCAGAAGGAAGCCCTAGCATCCGACTTGATGGGCATGTTTGAAAAACGCAGATTCCGTAACTTCCTGATATATGTTCAGGATTTTACTGCTGATGATCCCAAGACTTGGAAGGACTTTGACCCCAACACTCAAAATATGCAGGCGTTGTATGATAAGTTTGGGCTTGACAAGAACACACAGGTATGGAAACATTCATATTTTTTATTTATTTACATACATATTTATTCTCCAAATAGTGCAGTGAATCAAATTGTGTGTTACTGAGTGCAATATTCCTACTGAATCAAACTAAACTACAACTAAACAGATCAGTTTGATTTTGTAATACATTTTTGTAGATACTTATAGTATCATTTATTCAACCACATTAAAATCAAGGTGGTACTCACTGAATTTTTATTATCTCTATATGTTAATTAACATTATCAATTAGGTTCTTGATAGGTATTTTATGTTTTCCATGGATGTTACATTATATTTGATCTGTTATCATTTTTAGAATATTTAGATTGGTGTGTTGCCAA